CATGTTCAGCAGAACAGATGGTGCAGCTGCCTGGTTTGGCACCCCCACCGTAACTTTGTCCAAGATAGTCGTACTGTCACCAAAATCACACTGGTGTTTGCTGTTCACCTCTAGTTTGTGCACACAAAAGCATTATACTCTGGGCTCAGCAGGTGAGAAACTAAAAGGGAGCTTCCACATGTGGCAGACCAGGTGTTGGTGCTGCCGGATTTGGCACCCCCACTATAACTTTGTCCTAGATAGTCGTACTGTCACCAAAATCACACTGGTGTTTGTTGTTCACCTCTAGTTTTGTGCACACTCTGGGCTAAGCATATACATATGTATTTTTATTATTATTATNNNACGAAAATAACTTAATGTAAAGTATTTGTTTCACCTTCCCTTATCCTTATTATACATCCATGGGTACAAGTCCGGACTGCGGCTGTTTGTTGATAAATTGATGTTGTCTTCTTCTGTTTGCTTTAATGTAGGCTACTTAGTTGTGCATTGCCCCCAGCGCCAGTAAATGGAAGTACTACAAAGAACCCTGTTAATTATGTGCAGTTATTTCACAAGTTTTATTATATACACCTCGGAAGGATTTGACCTCAATGGTGGGTACGGNGCTGTTTGTTGATAAATTGATGTTGTCTCCTTGTGTTTGCTTTAATGTAGGCTACTTAGTTGTGCATTGCCCCCACCGCCAGTAAATGGAAGTACTACAAAGAACCCTGTTAATTATGTGCAGTTGTATTATATATATATATGTATATATGCTGAGGCCAGAGTAAAATGCTTTTGTGTGCACAGACTAGAGGGGGACAGCAAAGTGTGATTTTGGTGACAGTACGACTATCTTGGACAAAGTTAGAGTGGGGGTGCCAAACACCTGGTCTGCCTCATGTGGAAGCCCCTCCTTAGTTTCTCACCTGCTGAGCCCAGAGTCGAATGCTTTGGTGTGCACAAAAAAATGTGGGTGGGGGCTTCCCCCGAGCTCCCCTAGCATGTTTTGGACCTCTGTATTTACGAAATACGGGACGGGGCATCACCCGTCCCAAACCAACTTTAATCTGTGCACCAATTATACACAGCACCCGTGTTCTGCAGGTCATATTACAGATTTTGACGACGGTGGCTTTAAAGAGAAAATAAATAACGCCTTTTGTACCCCAAAGAAAATGAGTGCTAATATTTTAAATATAGCATAAACTAAAACTTCTATTGCTTTTTTTAAGTGGATTAAATATGTGTTCCTGCCTCTCCAATCCATCCAATAGCAGTTATAAGTACAATGTATCGTCTAAAATAACAGCAGTCACTTTTTCTCATTACGATGTATTTATTGAGGTTTATTGATTGTTTTTTGTTTTTTGTTTTTTTACTCCTTTGTTTGATGTTTTGGTGCGATGGCCGACGCACGACAACGACCCAAAACTCTTCCATCAGGGGAAACGTGTTGCAGCTTCAAAAACAATGCAGACACAAAAACACAAATGTTCCACGAAGAAACATCTTCAGCGACTTGACAACACATGCAGCGTTTAGAGAACATTCAGCAACTTGAGGAGACATGGCAACGTTTACTAAAAGCTGCAGAAACCAAACGCTGCAAGAAGCTCAGAACACAACGGAGACCAGGGGACACTAAAGAGTGACGCACACAGCTGGGAGACAAGGGGACACTAAAGAGTGAAGCACACAGCTGGGAGACCAGGGGAAACTAAAGAGTGACACACACAGCTGGGAGACAAGGGGACACTAAAGAGTGACGCACACAGCTGGGAGACCAGGGGACACTAAAGAGTGACACACACAGCTGGGAGACAAGGGGACACTAAAGA